CCATGTCACCCCAGCAGCATGCCCTGTCACTCCAGCAGCATGCCATGTCACCCCAGCAGCATACCCTGTCCCCCCAGCAGCATGCCATGTCACCCCAGCAGCATGCCATGTCACCCCAGCAGCATGCCATGTCACCCCAGCAGCATGCCATGTCACCCCAGCAGCATGCCATTGCCATCTTGCTGGCAGCAGTTCTTTTCACCCTTGCACCCCGGCAGCAGGCACAATGAAGAAGAGACAAGGCTCACCCGCGGTAGGAGAGCAGCAGCATGTTGCAGTGCAGGCGGTCCATGGTGTAGCGAGATGACTCCAGACGATGCGCTATGTCTTTGATTGCCGTTCAGCGTGTGGCAGTTGCAGGAGAGCAATGATTGCATTGCAGGAGAGCAATGATTGCATTGCAGCAGAGCAATGATTGCATTGCATGAGAGCAATGATTGCATTGCAGCAGAGCAATGATTGCAGGAGAGCAATGATTGGAGGAGTGCAATGATTGCAGGAGAGCAATGATTGTAGGAGAGCAATGATTGCAGGAGAGTAATAATTGTAGGAGAGCAATGATTGCAGGAGAGTAATGATTGCAGGAGAGTAATGATTGCAGGAGAGGGATGATTGCAGGAGAGGGATGATTGTAGGAGAGCAACAACAGGAAAGCAACGAGAACGAGCAGAGGAAAAGTTAAGGAGAGCTGAATGAGAAAAATTACCAAAGTTAATGAGGCACGACGCATGATAAGTGGCGAGCAATGCGACAGACATGATTAGAGAGAGGATGGGGCGAGCCAGCAGATGGGGCGAGAGACGAGACGGGGAGAGAGAGGAGACGGGGGGAGAGAGAGGAGATGGGGAGAGAGAGGAGAAGGTACGAGAGAGGAGAGCGAGGTAGAGAGGAGAGAGGGCAGGAATGTAGGATAGAGGAGAGCGGGCGAGAGGAGAGAGGGCGAGAGAGGAGAGGGAGAGAGAGGTAAGGTGGGGAGAGAGGAGAGGAGGGAAGAGTGGAGAGAGGGGCGCGACCGAGAACGGGGGAGAGAGAGGAGAGCAGGGACGAGAGAGGGGAGCAGGGGAGAGAGAGAGTGGAGCAGGGAGAGAGAGGGGAGCAGGGGAGAGAGAGGCGAGTGGGAGAAAAAGGAGAGGGCGGTATAGAGCGAGGGAGGGGGGTTGGAATTATAGAGAGGCTAATGTTCTCTGAAACGTCCACGTTGGGGAGGATACTGCCGGCATTCTCTTGAAGAAACAGAACGGTGGGGCCTGCACGTGCATTGAGAATGGGTACAGGTGGGTATGGGTGTACGGAATGGATAGAAAGAAGAAACAAGCGGGAAAGAACGCGGGTTAGCAACTAAAGATATGTATGCAGAGGCACCGTGTAGCTCCGTATCCAGGACTCGAACATGGAATCAAATCTAACGAATGATTCGATCATCAGGATCGTGCTGGTGGCGGCATGCGTCTGTGGCCGGATACTGAAGGAGCACCCCGAGACTCTCGAGAATAAGAAATGGAAGCAGAACACGCGCACCTCGCGTGGAGGGGCTGTACTTGAGCAGCCACGCGTGCAGTTTAACACCGTCCTTCGCCGTAAGCCATACGTCCTCGAAATGCATCCGAAGGCGATCCGGCGTAAACGGGTACTCTCTTGTGGCTCCGGGAACCACGGGGACGTAGAGTAGCTTCTCCTGGAAGGTTATTAAAGCTACTAACGCGGACACAGCGAGGAAACCGACACCCCAAAGAGCATCGCGAAGGAAATTGTCCCACATTCTCTTAGATTCAATTAGGCACCGAGTTCTGAATGTCGTGTCGCTGATCTTAGTCAAGGAATTAGGTTCCGCGATCGAGCATTCACTAATTGACGCTGATCTTAGGGCGAGTCCTACTCATCACAGTTCAGGTCAACATATGGAGCAGTCACCCTTTTTTGTAGGGTGACCGCGTCAAATTTCGAGATCAGCCTGCTGACGCGCTCGATTTTCTCCTTGCAGATCACATCTCTCGCATTGAATCTGAACCGGAGAAATTTATGACTGAGAAGCGACCACTGATTTGCAATTCGTCAATGCATATTTTATCGTCCACGTTACCCAGGCGACAATTACCGATTTCGCGAACCAAATGTTTTCTGCTCTAGTCAATTCGTGCGGGGGGGATGCTGTGTCCGCGTAGAGCACGTAGTTCGTTTGTGCGAGATACCGAGTCCGTGTGATACCCACCAGGACATGGCACGTGTTCGTGTTCGGGTTGACAGGTTTTATCCAACAGTTGGGAACCGTTACACGGATGTGAAACTGCCAAAATGAAATGAGTTGTTGGATATAAGACTTTAATTATGGCTTCTTGGAGACTGTTACGAGTGCAATTGAGAGAGCAAGCGAGAATTGCACTATCGAAGCAAACAATACAATGAGCGAAGGCGTGAGCGAAGAATATATAGCAAAGCTAGAGTGTTAACGGTAACGAGAGAAAATATGGTGCGTTACGGGCCTAGCGCCAAGGTTGGGAAATGTCGAGGCGGGGGTACGGAGCGCGGGTTACCAACCAAACCGTGAAGTTGAGTCACATCGTGAACAGTGGCGGGACTCGTAATCAAGGGAAGTGTCGCGATCGGGTAACGTTTCACTGTTGGGTGCCGATGGCGGGAATGGTCTTGTACGCGATAAGCAGGGGCGCGAAGTAAGGAAAATCCCGAGAACGCGTGTACATCTCGAAAGTTTCGGCGGTGCATATACTCAGTGAGGACAGGGTGATTCTCAATTCTATCCAGGGGAACCCAGTTGTCTTCGGTGGGCGTGAGGTCTTTCCAGTAGATTAGAAATTAGATCCTTCGGGCTCCCCGTGGTTCACGTACCCGGTGGCTCAGTATATTTTCGGGCGTGATGATTGGCTCTATCGGCGGTCGTGTCATGCTGGCGGGGCGGTTGCGAGGCAGTTGGCTGATGGATGGGATACATGGACGAAGCAGGCTGACGTGGAACGACGGGCTGACGTACTAGTCAGCAGGGAGGATGAGGTGGGCGGTGACGGGGGTGATCATGTGGCTGATGCGAAATGGCCCGCAATATCGGGGGCGGAGTTTTGGAGTGATTGGTAGGCGGAGGTTTTGAGTGTCGAGTAATACCAAGTTGTCGAGTTGGTAAGTGACGGGGCGGCGGTGGCGGTCGGCGTTTCGTTTAGCGGTGACGTTTGACTTTTTTATTGCTCTTGTTGCTCGGGTCCGTGCTGCCTGTAATATTTCAGCGAACAGTTGCGCACGTGGTACAGGGTTGTCAAGATTCGGGGTCAGGGGTACTGTGGGGTCTTATCCGTAATTCAAGTAAAACGGTGACTGTTGGGTCGTGGCGGATGGCGAGTTGTTGTACGCGAACTCGATGAGTGGCTGTTGCTGTTCCCACGTGGTCGGGTCGTCGCACGTGGCTCGGATGAGCTGTTCCATGGTCTGCTTTGTCAGTTCTGTCTGTCCATCGGTTTCGAGGTGGTACGATGAACTGAACTTTAGTCGCGTGTCGAACTGCTGCCATAGGTTCCGCTAGAAGTTGCTGGTAAATTTCGTTTCGCGGTCGCTGATGATCGCCGTTGGTATCCCGTGCAGTGGAACGATGATAGTGATGAAGAGGCGTGTTGTTTTTATCGGCTGTGATTGATTTCTTGCAGGTTGCGAAGTGTGCCATTTTCGTCGGCCGATCGACGACGTCCAGGATCGAGTCGTTCCAACTTGCTCCAGCCGGTAACCCCGTGACGAAGTCCATCGTCACCTGCTGCCAAGCACGCTCTGCGGATGGTATCGGCTGCAACTGTCCTTCTGGTCGCTGTCGTGGCGACTTCATGAGCTGGCAGGTGGGACATGATGCCACGTGTCGTTGCACGTCAGTCAGCATTTCGGGCCAGTAGTAATACCGTTGCAGCTGCTGTCGTGCTTTTTCTACTCTGAAATGGCCTAAGGTGACTCCGTCACTTGCTGTAGCAGTAATTCCCGTAGTAAGGTATAGCCCGGTACCCAGATCCGATGAGGTGTTTTTTTACGTAATACACCCCTTTTGCTGTTGCGAACTGCTGCGAGTTTCCTCCGGTGAAGAACGGGTCTGTTTGGTAGCCGTGGGTAAATAGTCCTGTTAGCAATGGGCTAGTCTGGGAGAGTAGTATGACGTGGATTTGGGCAGTGGGCCGGGTCAGTGCGTTAGCGATGTTTGATGCCCCATTTTTGTAGGTGACCGTGTAATGGAAATTCGACTCAAGGAAATCGAGCCAGCGAATCTGTCGTGGGTTGAGGTGGGGCTGTGCGCGGAGTTACTGTAGTGATTTGTGGTCTGTCTGTACTATCACGTTTGCGCCGGTCAAGTTACAGCGCCACACTTTGAATGCGTGCACAATCATGAGCATTTCGCGAATGTGTATCGGGTGATTTTACCCGGGCGGATGCAATTTTCGTGACTCGTAGGCGATGGGCTGTAGGACGTTGCCGAAATCATGTAGCAGTACGGTTCAATGGCGATGTTGCTTGTGTCTATAACCACTTCGAATGGGCGGTGTGGGTCGGCGATACGCAGTACGGGCGGTGAATCAAGAACATTTTATAGACCCGGGGGCGTACAACTGGGGGGGTCTTTTATCCGGGGTATTACTGTAGCTACAAATACATAATCTCAATGTAATGCTCTGTTTTATTATCTTGTAATTTACATTCACTATAGCAAGGTCAATATTAGACTTCCACGGTCTTACACGCACCTTATCCTGTACACCAAATTCCTTGGTTATTTCAGCACAAGGTGTGCCTGAAATGTGGTCTGATCTTGTCTTACAGTACCGTAACAATAGATTAGAGGCCACTCAATAATAACCTAACTAATTATATCACCATGTCGTACAAGTCATGTCTATGCCGGGGGGTACAAACAATGATTGCCTACATAAATTCCATAACATGAGAATAAATAATATCAGCCCACGTGTCTGGTATGCCAGGCAGACACCAATGCATGCAATCGATGGCCTTGGGATGTTCACAATGGTCTTGGAGGTGCCCGTCTGGCCTAAGAACGGAGAGTGCAGTCACATCAACCACTTTGAACTCCTTTGATTGTTGAACCACCTGCAATGCAAGCAACAGAAGCGGATGATATAAGCGCTGGATGAATATACATGACCACATATAATAAGCATACACACGATGGCCTAGGCTTAAAGCCCACAAGGCACCTGTAGCATGCATGTTATGCAAAGCCAGCAGCCACATGAAAACGCCACTACAGTGTGAACCACCTCATCCCACTCACACCCAGCCTCAGGGCATCTTAATCTGTGTGTTTCGTGCTTCCAACACATCTGTAGCCCCTCGCTACAGCTGGAGCCTGCAGCCGTAGCTGAGCCTGCACAGCCTCCACCGCCACAAGTCGCATGAACGCGCTACAGCCGCGCTCCGGCATGCTGCAGCTCACCAAGTCACCCCAATCTCTCTGGGTTTTGAAGCCCCAGCCATCTGTAGCCCACAGCACTGCAGCTGTAGCGCCTGCATGACTGCGCTACAGCCTGATTCCCCCCAAGCCATCAGTAGCCACACCATTCACCCCATCTCAACCCCTCAGCACCCCTCCGAAGCTCACCTCAAGCTGCGCGTTCCGCACGCCTATGCAGTCTTTATTCCACTGCGGCACTTCCACGGCGTCCGCCCCCACCGGGTCCATGTAGGCGCTACAGCCCACCGAGGGAGCAGTGCTGTTGACTCGCACGTTGCCATGCATGGGCGAGTAGGTCAGGAAAATGGGCATCCCCGTGTAGTTGATGCTGCGGGTGAAGCGAGTGACTGCATGGAGGGCGGCTTGCATGGTGGCCATGCGGTTGTTTGGCTGCTCGGTGTTGTTGATCATGTAGTGCCGCGTCTTCACCCGACCCTGGAGGGCAGGTGCGGGGCAGAGCATAACATGGGGTGAAGGGTGGAAGGGAGATGAGTGCTTGCACTTTTACGTACCTTCGAAATTATGGAAGTATGGCTGGTTTTTGTTGTCGACCATGTACTGCTGCTTGCTCCTAGAGGGAGGTGGGTCAGAGGGGGATTGTGGTGGAGGAAGTTTGAGACGTCTGAAAAGGCATGCTTGCTCCTTGTAAACCCTGCCTCTTCTTGAAGGGGCCTGGAGGGGAGGTGCGACAGAGGATGATTAGGTTGAAGCGGGAAAGCTTGCAATCTGGTGACGTTGCCGTTTCTTGTTGTGAACCAAGTAGTCTCTCTGTTGTAGTCTCCTTTTGAAATATGTCTGGATGGGGAGGCGAGTAAGAAGGGTTGGGGTTACAGCCGGAAGGGAGAGGATTTGTTGCGCAATCTTGTAAGTATGTGTTTATGTCAGCCCGATTTCTGTTGTCCACCCACCATGTAGCTTGAGAATTCTATAAAACAACACACTATCACTCACGTTGCATAAATGCTCCCTTAAAAAAACCATGAGAACTGAGACAACCTTTTGTGTTCTAGGATTCCACCACTCTAGCAGCTAGATAGAGATCGAAAGCACACGATTCCGACGCACTAGAGATCTCAAAAAATGATTGAGCTTTAGGATGAGATACACACAAACACGTGACAGGTACTCTTAATCGTTCCCAGTCTGTGCTCTCTTTGCTTTCCATATACAAGTCCGCGCACAGAAACGAAGGAACAACGAGAGTGTCAACTTGAGTCGCACGCACCTCAAAACCTTTTCTGAATCTCGCCAGCGCAAAATTCGGAGACTTGAATGATAGTTTCGTTCAAATATGTTCCTGATATGCCTCGTTCTGATATGGTGTACCGAACTCAAAATCAAGAAGTGGCATGATAGAACCCAAAACCCATTGAACTAACACTGGTGTACCAAACTCAAAATCAAGAAGTGGCATGATAGAACCCAAAACCCATTGAACTAACAATGGTGTACCAAACTCTGATCCCAAAGACCACGTAGTTGGTTTATTGACATATTAAAAACCTAAAAATATGTTATAGGGCATCTGTAACTCACAGTGGTGTACCAAGCTCCGGCCCCAAAGACCACGTAGTCGGTGTACGGAAGCACAGCCGCCCACTCCGGATGCACCTGGTCCAGATGCACCGTCCACGTGCTTCCACTGCTGGTCCTATCTCCACCCTGATTAGCAAGAGTGGACAGTGGAGACGGGAGAGGGATTTGGGAAGATCGCATGGGGCCATAAATCAAGCAACAGGTGCATTCTGCATGCTCCTAGTCCACATGCACCGTCCACGTGCTCGCACTGGTCATGTCGCCCTGTGGAGGGCAAAGAAGAAAGCACATCGGACCACATGTTGAAACCGAAGGTGCAATCAAGATGCACGGTCCTGGTGCTTGCACAGCCATTGTCGGCCTGATTACAAGAGGGGAGAGGGGTGGGGAGACGGGAGTGGGGAGAGAGGAGAGGGGAGAGGGGTGGGGAGACGAGAGAGGAGAGGGGAGAGGGGAGATGGGAGATGGGAGAGGGGAGAGGGGAGAGGGGAGAGGGGAGAGGGGAGAGGGGAGAGGGGAGAGGGGAGATGGGAGAGGGGAGAGGGGAGAGGGGAGAGGGGAGAGGGGAGAGGGGAGAGGGGAGAGGGGAGAGGGGAGAGGGAGAGGGGAGAGGGGAGAGGGGAGAGGGGAGAGGGGAGAGGGTGTTAGTGTTAGTCTTCGATCTCACAATTTGTACTTAGTATTTTCTATATCCTAGAGTAGTGTAGTTTGCACATTGTGTTTGGTTGGGTGTACACCTACATCCCAACCAAACCCAAATGTAATCTCCAACCAATCTCCAACCCACCAATTGGAGATTGCCTTGGGATTATCCCCAATCCCTAGAGATTGCCCCCGATTCCCTTCTCCATCCTTTTCCTACCCTTTTTCGATGTACTTAAAGAGCTTCAAGCTCATTACTAATGCATCAGTTCTAAGCCTAAGTTCTGACATGGCATCAGAGCCCTTCAACCGCATACGCGGATCGTGATCCTATTATCTTCGCGGATGTTCGTCCCGCAAACCTCGGCGTAGTCATCATCAATCTCGTCGCCGGTGATTCGCGACATTCGAAGGCGGAATTCTTCCCGCACCTCGTTCCCGTCAATTTCGACGACGTCAACAATCTTTCTGGTAAGCGCATCATTGCCGCTATAACCTACCGCTCGTTTTCGTCGAACGGTTTCGTCGCCCTTCTTCTCCTCGTCGGGCCGCCGCCCGTCGCCCCGCAACTTCTCGTCGGGCCGCCGCCCGTCGCCCCGCATCTGCACCTCTACCCCCATTCCCCTCTTCCCGCAGCTGAACAGGTGCAGCGGCGCAGCCGAGCAGCAGTGCAGCAGCGCAGCCGAGCAGCAGAGTAGCCGCGAAGCTGAGGGTGGTGTGTGGGGGGGTGTGTGGGAATAGGATTAGCAAATAGTTGACACTTCACTGGCGCTTCCGTCAAATTCTCCTTCAGAAACCCTAAACCTCAAAAGTCTCTTTCGTAAACCCTAAACCTCCGATTCTTCAAAATCTCCTTCGAAAACCATAAACCTCAAGTTCCTATCGGTGACTTAAGAGCGGCACTCCGCGCGAGAAGTTAAGGGGTCTTCATCATGGCTCTCTCCTCTTCCACCATGGCCAACCCCATCACCCCACTCCGCCTTGAAGCCGATGGCTCTAGCTCCAGCTTCAAGGCATGGAGCTATGGGGTTGACAAGCACCTCCTGAGTCGTGATGTGCAGGGATTGGACCTCAAGGACGTCCTCCTCAACCGTGGCAAGGGGAAACAGCCTACTCTCCCCCGTGAGCCGACCGAATCTTCTAATGATGCCGACTTGAGGGCGTACGAGGAAGCTGCTAAGAAGTACCGGAAATGGGAGAAGGCCGATGCTGCCATCATCAGCGTCTTCATCGCCTCCACCCCTCCCGAACTTGTCAACACGTTCCACAACTACCCTACCTCCAACGCCATCTGGAAGTATCTCCAGGATCGGTTCATGAACAAGACGGCGGTTGGAGTGGCGATTCTCATCCCCAGCATGTTTCAAGTCCGTCTTGAGGACTGCTCAGGGATGGCCGACTACATCGCCAAGGTGCAAACCATTTATGGTGAACTCAAGGAGCTGGGTATAGTCTTCCCCGAACAAGCTCCTGCAGCCGCCCTCCTTGTTGGTCTCACCTCGGCATATGAAGTCACGAGGAAGATGCTCCTCACGCTCTCAGCGGAAGACCTCTCTTTTGATAAAGTCTCCACCGCACTCCTTTCTGCCGAGAAAGACTCCACGGCTCAGGCCAAGACATATGCCATCCGTGCTCCCATGCCCCCAGCAAGTGTTGCAGCGGCTCTCGCCTCGGCGCCTTTCCAGCGCAACCGCTTTCCTCCGTGCCCCTACGTCGTCAAGTATGGCAACCGCAAGGGACAAGTGTGTGGTGGCACTAACCACCCCCTTGTTATATGCTTCAAGAAGAAAGACGACGAGTGGTATGCCATCCACGGATTTGACAAGAAGCCGCCAAACTGGATGCGCCCTCGTAAGGCCAACCTTGTTGAGGTCCAGGACCCCTCTTCGGCTAGTGCTAGTGATAGTGCTCCTGCTGATATGCGTATCAACTTGTTGTTCGCTGGCACTGCCATGATTAATGAAGCTACTTCCCAGTACATCGACTCATCACAGGCACCACAATACATAGAGTTCACACTCGACAGCGGGGCCACTCACTCTGTGCTCAAGGAGACTCTCTCTTTCAAACCCTATCCAGCACCTATTCCTCTCTTGGGAGCTGACTCCAGCTTCACCACCCTAGCCAAGGGCACCTCCACAGTCCCATGCCCCGCCTTCCCTTCCGGCACCGTCACTGGCATGTGCGTGCCTTCACTACGCCACAATCTAGTGGCTCAGACAGAAATTCAGGAAGCAGGGCTACGCACCATATTCTCGGAGAATGAGGACCACTGCGACATCATCGATCCACTCACCAACAAGGTCTTGGCCCGCTTCACCCTCAATAGCAGCGGCCTCTACACGCTACGTGTACCTCTCCCACAGGTTTCAACCACCCAAGCACAGGCTCCCATCACACCATGCTCATGTCGCAGCCTCTCCAACCCGACCATCCTCTATCACCTTCGGTTAGGGCACCCAAACTTCCGCACGCTTGCTGACATGGCTTCCAAGAAGCTTCTTCTCGGCCTGCCAGCCACACTTCCTCCACCACCTGACTCACCCGCTCCCACGTGCCTTGATTGCACCAAGAGCAAACTGCGCCAACAGCCCCACACTGCCTCACCCACAGTCGCAGCGGCACCACTGGACCTAGTGCACATGGACGTCTGGGGCCCTGCCCCTGTTCTCGCACGAGGTGGCTATCGCTACTTCCTTGTTCTCGTGGATGACCACTCCCGCTACGTCACTGTTCACCTCCTCCACACTAAGGCTGAGGCTCCAGAGGTCATCATGGCGTGGGTCAAGCAAGCACAGACCACCTTTGACCGCAACGTCAAGCGCCTTCACTCGGATGGGGGGGGGTGAATTTTGCAACGACAAGCTCAAAGCCTTCTGCTCCTCCGAAGGAATCCAACAAAACTTCACCCTCCCTGACAGCCCTCAACAGAACGACATAGCTGAGAGCCGCAACCACACCCTGGTGCAGATCACTCAGTGCCTCCTCAGCCACTCCAACGCTCCACACTCTCTCTGGGGGTACGCTCTCTACCACGCCGCCCTCCTCTACAACCTTTACCCCCACCCGCACCTTCCCGACACCACTCCAACCACACTCTGGCTCGGGAAAACGCCCACTGCTCGCTCTCTTCGCGTTTGGGGATGCACCGCCTATGTCCTCCTCAACCCTCGGGCTCGATGGCAGAACGGTGGCAAGCTCGGTCCCAAGACTCAGACGTGCATCTACCTCGGGCACAACGCCGACTCACCTGACTACCTCTTCCTCAATCCCTCCACTCAACAGTTGGTCAGGAGCCGCGACGTTGTCTTTGATGAGACCCGCCCATTCTACTCCCCTTCGGGACGGGACCCTCTCCCTGCTCCACCCTCCCTCGTGTGGGCAGACTTTGATGCGCCTCGCCTCCCGACCTCTCGCCTGCTCCTGCCCCCTCACCTCGTCCCTCTCCTGCCATCGCACCATCTCCCTCTGAGGTCTCTGACCCGGCCTCACCGGTGTCTTCGGCAGCTGCTCCTCCCTCCCCCTCACCTTCCCCACTTCCCGCTGCGCCGCCCCCTCCGAGCGCACCTATCACCTACCATCGGCGGTCCCACCCTCCGGCCCCACCTCCTCCCCCGGTTCCCCCCACCACAGAGGAACCCGCTCTCCCACAGTCGCCCGAGCTGATCACGTACCGCCGGCGGCCCATTCCCCCGCCCAAGCCTCCTAAGTCACCCTCTCCGACACCGCCTGCCCCACCCTCCTCTCCGGTGGCTCATGGCACTCGCTCACATCGCGCTGCTCTTCCACTCGCGATGGTTCTTCGATACACAGCGATCACACCGCCTCCTCCTGCTGGGGGGGATGTGCCCTCTACCCTTCTAGAAGACAGGCATGAGGAGCTGTGTGATCTCCATGCAGTCATTCCTCACCTCTCACACATCTTCCCCGACATCACTGGCTCACCCTCCCTCAACTTCGCGGAGAACCCGACCATCCCTATCCCTCTCACCGTCCAAGAGGCTCTCTCAGGCCCTCATGCTGCCGAATGGCGTGCTGCCATGGACGCGGAGATTGCAGCATTCACCCGCAACCACTCCTTCGACGACGAGACTCCACCTCCAGGAGTCAACATCGTCGGGGGCAAGTGGTTGTTCCGTGTAAAACAGCTCCCAGACGAGGCACCGGTGTAAAGCGCGTTACGTAGCCAAGGGCTTCACCCAGCAGCAGTACCGCGACTTCTTCCTAACCTTCTCCCCCACATCCAAACCTCCCACCATTCGTACGCTCATGGATGTCGCAGCTCGAGAAGACTTTGAGATCAAATCCATGGATGCCTCATCCGCCTTCCTACAAGGACGTCTCAAGAAGACAGTGTTCATGGACAGACCAGAAGGCTTCCCAGGAGAATTCCCTCCCAACACTGTCTGGAAGCTAAATCGCCCCGTCTACGGCCTTAAGCAAGCCCCTCGCGAATGGCACAACAAGGTGAAAGAAGTCCTCCTCTCCCTGGACTTCCACCCTTCAACTGCTGACCTGACCCTCTTCATCCGCCGTCATTCTGAGCCCTTCTACATCCTAGTCTACGTGGATGATTTCATCCTCGTTGCCAAGGACTCGGCCCAGATGACCTCAGTCCAGGCAGCCCTAAGCAAGGCTCTCCAGATGAAAGACCTCGGTGACCTCAAGCACTACCTGGGGATGGAGATCACTCGTGATCGCAAGGCTCGCACCATTTCACTCTCCCAGGAGTTCTACATCGACAATGTGCTCAAGCGGTTTGAGATGGAGCTGTGCACACCTGTTGCCACCCCGCCGCCGCTGCAACACCTCCTCACAGCTCCAGCTGTACCCACATCAGAGGCCTGCTCTGAGCCATACCCCGAGCTTGTTGGGTCCCTCATGTACGCCATGATGTGCACCCGACCGGACCTGGCCTAACCTGTCAGTGTCCTCTCTCGCTACGTGGCCCCTGGACGCTTCACTGATCTTCACTGGAAGGCAGCCAAGCGGGTGCTGCGCTATCTTCAGGGCACCAAGTTTCACGTCCTCACACTCGGTGGGCTCTCCCCTCCTCGCCTGGAAGGTTACACTGACTCCTCCTGGGCTGATGACCAGACCGACCGACGCTCCTCTCAGGGGTGCTGCTTCACCCTTGGGAGCGGAATTGTCAGTTGGCGCTCCACCAGGTCGCCTGCAGTCTCCCTCTCCTCATGTGAGGCAGAGCTCTACGCAGACACCATGGCTGCTCAGGAGGCCTGTTGGCTCACCTTCCTCCTCCAAGAGCTTGGTTTCCCACAGTCCGCCCCCACCCTTTGGTGTGATAACCAGAGTACCATCCACATCTCTCAAGACCCTGTGTATCACACCCGCACCAAGCACATTGAACTCCGACACTTCTTCATCCGTGACCTTGTCCAACAAGAGCAGCTGAAAGTGGAATACGTTGCATCTGACTGCAACCTGGCTGATCTGTTCACCAAGCCCCTTGGGAAAGTTCCCCACCACCGTCTCCTTGGCGCCATGGGGCTTTGTGCTCCACCCTCTCTACCCTGAGCTCGATTGACGCCTATGGGGGGGTGTTAGTGTTAGTCTTCAATCTCACAATTTGTACTTAGTATTTTCTATATCCTAGAGTAGTATAGTTTGCACATTGTGTTTGGTTGGGTGTACACCTACATCCCAACCAAACTCAAATGTAATCTCCAACCAATCTCCAACCCACAAATTGGAGATTGCCTTGGGATTATCCCCAATCCCTAGAGATTGCCCCCGATTCCCTTCCCCATCCTTTTCCTACCCTTCTTGGATGTACTTAAAGAGCTTCAAGCTCATTACTAATGCATCAGTTTAAGTTCTGACCGAGGGGAGAGGGGAGAGGGGAGAGGGGAGAGGGGAGAGGGGAGAGGGGAGAGGGGAGAGGGGAGAGGAGAGAGAGGAGGGGAGAGGGGAGAGGGGAGAGGGGAGAGGGGAGAGGGGAGAGGGGAGAGGGGAGAGGGGAGAGGGGAGAGGGGAGAGGGGAGAGGGGAGAGGGGAGAGGGGAGAGAGGAGACTGGAGAAGGGAAAAGGGAGAGGGAAGAAGGGAGATTGGAGAGGGGAAAGGAGAGGGGGGAAAGGGCAAAGGGGTTACCTGTCCAGATGCACCTGTCCATGTGTTGCTCTGGTCCAAGGGGTTACGCGGGAGTCAAGAGGGGAGAGCGGGAGGGGAGACTGCACAGGAATGTAGGGCAAAGCAAAAGCTGCACACGTTTCAAAGCAGTGGGGGCTTACACTGGTAGCCTTGAGACGTCTCAAAGCAGTGGGGGCTTACACTTGTAGCCTTGAGACGTCTCAAAGCAGTGGGGGCTTACACTGGTAGCCTTGAGACGTCTCAAAGCAGTGGGGGCTTACACTGGTAGCCTTGAGACGTCTCAAAGCAGTGGGGGCTTACACTGGTAGCCTTGAGACGTCTCAAAGCAGTGGGGGCTTACGGTGGGAAGGGATCGGGCGAGGAAGGCGGCAGCTTGGCGGAGGAACGTGGCATTGAAGTGCGGTGCAAGCAACGCATGAGCGTTGGGCCCTCCTGGGAACAGCGGGCCCTCCCTGCTCTGTCCGGTCACCGGGGGTTGGGAGAGCAAGAAGGCGATAAGAGGAGGAGTGTTGATGGAAGGGACGGAAGCATGGAAATGCGATGCAGCAAATGCGAGAGCCTTTGGCCCTCCTGGGAACAGCGGACCCTCCCTGCTGTGTCAACAGGGTGGGAGGGCAAGAAGGCGGAAGGAGGTTGGGTGTGGAGGAGGGGAAAGTAGCATTGAAGTGCGGTGCAATCACGGCGCGTGAATGGGGGTTGGGAGGGAAAGGGGTGAGAGCATCAAGGCAATGGTGGTTGGGAGGGCAAGGGGTGAGGGTAGTGGGGCAACGGGGGCTGGGAGGGCAAGAAGGAGGAAGGAGGGGGAAGTGTCGAGGCAAGGTAGCGTTGAAAATTGGGTCAAGGAGAGGAGGCAAGGAATGAGGTAGAGATTCGTTTTTTATTTGCAACAGCCATGTGTTGCCGATAGTTGGCTCTAATTAGTCAAGTGCTGGGCCATGTGTCAGCATTCACGAAGCACACCGTGTGGCATTGATGAAACCAGTGTGCATTGACGAGAAGAAAGCACATGCATTATTGCACCTGGACAATACGTGCTTTGCAATAATTGGTAGCAACTTGACCCATGTTCCAGTCTCAAGGAGGCAGTGACGAGTGGAGAAGAGCTTTTTTGTGATGAAAAAAACAACAGCGTGCCAGCGAGGCAGATGCCTTGAACTTGGACAGTGCAACACACCTTGGTCGGAGTGACTGTCTCAATGAGGCATTGGAGGGCTGAAAAGAAGTTCAAGGTGAGGGAATCCCCAACGACCAGAAACACCTTGTTGCGCATGCGCTCCAGGAAGGCAGATGCATCGAACCTGGACACGGGACGATGCGGAAGATGAAAACATAAACACACACGCACGCACGCACGCACGCACACACACACACACACACGGAAAAAAAGCCCTTACTGATTCTGAGAATGAAGTGAATTTTACTAGGATATCAGATGCACTGAATCTGGACAATGAACATGATCTGACCCAGGCAATGCCAACTTCAAAACACCAACCTCTTACCTCTTCAATCGACACCTCTCAATGCGGCACCCAGGGCTACTCCACGCGTACTGCAGGTACCGCATGCTTGTGCGCCTCTTGCGCTCGTAAGCATGTTGTGCACTGCAGCATTTCGGAACACTTGTCTTCGATTCTCACAACAAGAACACACCTGTCAGTGCGGCAACCCAGGGCTGCTCCACGCGTACTGCAGGTACCGCATGCTTGTGCGCCTCTTGCGCTCGTAAGCATGTTGTGCACTGCAGCATTTCGGAACACTTGTCTTCGATTCTCACAACAAGAACACACCTGTCAGTGCGGCAACCCAGGGCTGCTCCACTCGTACTGCAGGTACCGCATGCTTGTGCGCCTCTTGCGCTCGTAAGCATGTTGTGCACTGCAGCATTTCGGAACACTTGTCTTCGATTCTCACAACAAGAACACACCTGTCAGTGCGGCAACCCAGGGCTGCTCCACTCGTACTGCAGGTACCGCACGTTGGTGCGCCCGTTCCACTCACATGCATCTTGTACACTGTGTGCCACAACTCCAAGCACCCGCCCCCAGCCCTCTCAAGCCGGGACTCAGTACATACACACCTCTCAATGCGGCACTCAGGGCTGCGCCACTCGTACTGCAGGTAATGCATGTTGGTGCGGCCATTGCGCTGGCAGTTGAGCGCCCGACTCAAGCTCCGGCAGCTCTCCCCCGTGTACTGCGGCTCGCGTGATGGGTTGGGCACCCAGCTGTTGGTGTGGGAAGCCAGGGGAAACAGGAGTGTGAAACAGATCAGGCTCTTGCAGCTCTCGCCCCCGTGTACCGGGGAAGGCGGGAAGGGTTTTCCACTCAGCTGTTGGTGTGCATGGCAGGCAAGGGGAGAGGGGTCGCTGGACTTGGTGCCTTGGCGTTGGCACAGGATGGCAGCTTACAGTTGAGCCACAGCCTCAGGCTCTTGCAGCTCTCAGGCTCTTGCAGCTCTCAGGCTCTAGCACCCCCGCACACTGCGGCTGGCGGGAGACCCAGCTGTTGGTATTGGGTGAAAGCGCATGGGTGAAAAGGCAATGGGGATCTCTTGACTATGTGGATAAACAAACCGGGTTAGGCTCTTGAGCTGTCCCCTGACGGTTTGACCTCCCAGCTGATGGTGCAGTGCAGGTCGCATCTGCATTTGCCACCTCCCATACATGCAGGTCGCAGGTGAACATTTCTCAACGGGTCACACGCGCGTGCATTCGCCACGTGGCATACTGCTGGTCGCAGCACATATGTCATCTACCATGCAGGTGCATGGATGAACTTGTCAACTGACATACCATGCGGGTCGCGTGTGTGCATTCGTCAACTGACATACCATGCGGGTCGCGTGTGTGCATTTCACAGCTGACATTCCATGTAGGTCGCATTGCGTCCAGTTGCCATCTGACGCACCTTCCAACGGTTAGATCGCACGTGGTTGATGGCGAAACCGCATTTTCGCGTTCTGGCTTAGGCTCGGACGGTTTCTCTGGTTCGGATTTCTGCTCCGGCGTAGGTTGGGGATCGCCGGCAAGCTCAGCTTGGCCTACGGCAGCAGTTGTCGCAGATTCCGTTTGCGTTAGCGTTTCTGTGGTCCGTTCTGTTCCGAGATTCAGAACGTCAGGTTTTGAAAGCGAGGAGTGAAGAAATAGAGCGACGGTGATCAGTATGAGAGCAAGCGACGCGAAGAGAAAGCGCTGCTTGGCGCGCTTCCAGTCTGCTGTACCCGCGGTTGGCGGCTGAATCTCAGGAGAAGACATGTCGTCCTTGTAAAACGAACGGCAACTTCGGTAAATAGACCTATGCGGAATGTGCTGAGACTACCATCTCCGAACCCTGCATTTCCTGCCGAAAGTAGTCGCACGGACGGGTCATGAGAAATCGGCAACGAAATCGAAGCTATGCATAAGACCGACGGATATGCGATGTGTTCTGCAACCTAAGAGCACGTCAATGCATCTCGTGTGCAGGAGGAGGGACGAGGCATGCTGTGTGGGCTTGCTTGACTTGTGTCTGAGCACGGACGGGACAACAACATCCCACAGCACGGCAGGCCACCCTATTTCATCGTGGGCTGGGGGTTCTCGACTGACACAGCCCACCATCCCGCGCGCGCGAATCATCCGATGATTGGCATGCATCTTCACTGCACGTACAACCAGTCGTTACATCGCGTACGTCCAAGGGTCCTCCCATATTAGGTACTCATTACATCATGTATGGAGATGGTAATATTCCATCAGGTGTAAGGAAATTTTCGGCATTCCTTACCGCGTACGTCCAGCACCAGCGCCTCCAGCACCTCCAGCACCAGCACCTCCAGCTCCAGTAGCTCCAGCTCTGTCACCAGAGCGGCCTCGCCGAAGAACCCACTCGCGAAGCTGCTGCGGCGAGAGAGTCTCATTCCGACGAGACTGCCGCTACTGTCCACTCCTAGCACCTCCAGTAGGAGCACCCACGACTCCACCACCACTCGGACTCTCAGCACCCCCAGAACCAGCACCCCCAGACTCAGCACCTCCAGAGTCAGCATCCCCAGAGTCCGCACCAGCGGCGTCGTCAATGCGACTTGCACCAGCGGCGAGCAACACCTCGAAATGACCATGAAGGTCAGCAGTTGAGCAGCGCGAAACTCCGACAAGTCGACGTCTTCCTCGCCCGGCGCCAACATGTCATCGTCGACGAACTTTTTCAATCTGGCGATCTCCAGCTAGGCTCGATGGACTCCGCCCATGTGATCATGTCGTGTCGACCTTCGAGCGGAATCAGCACACCGATCTTGTCAGGTGAAAAAATAAAGTAGCCGTACGCTGGCGCGGTGCCTCTGTCTCGACCAGCTGATACATGAGTCGCCGAAGTCGGCCTGACCCTGCAAAAGATAAGAAACGAGGAATGATTGAATTAGCAAGCAGGTGGGTACAAGTAGGAAAAACTAAAAGTGTTGTACCCCATATTGACTACCCCACTACAGCCTACACAGACTTGTTGAGTTGAGGAATGATGCACTATGAAATGAAACAAGTACAAGTACCAACCCTAATTGGGTTGTACCCCATATGGGCTACCCCACTACAGCCTACATATATGCATCAGCAATATATAATCATCTGACACACCCCCATAGGCAAAGTGGGGGAGAGCAAGGGGTCACAAGACCAGTCAAGCAAAGCAAAGCAAAGCAAAGCAAGCTCAGGGTGGATCTCAAGGATACCACACAAATTCCGAGCACAAGGTCAAGGCCACAAGGCCAGTTCACATGCAGCAGAGCATATATATATAACAGTGCTAAACAAGCAAGAGCAAGGATATATATATATGCAACAGTACAAGCAAGGTCAAGAGATAAGCAAGTGAGGCCCAGTGGGCACAAGGCCTAGCAGAGTGCAAAAGCGCTGATGGTCACGAGGCGGAAGTGCCTTGGTGAACACATCAGCAGTGTTGGCCTCAGTGGCCACGAAACGCAGGCGAAGCTGACCACGCTGCTGCAGCTCTCGAGCAAGGAAGTAGCGCAGAGCAATGTGCTTCGTCCTGTGCTCCAGTCTGTGCTCCTGACACAAGGCAATGGTTGCCTTGTTGTCGACGTACAGCACTGGAGGAGAACGAGGCCGCTCTCCAAGGTCAGTCAGCAGGTAGGTGAGCCAGCGAAGCTCCTGGGCAGCCATGGCCAGTGGCGTAGATCTCAGCCTCACAACTGGAGCTGAGAACCGAAGAAGAGCGAGTAGAGCGCCAAGAGACAGAGCCAAAGCCAAGACTGAAGGTGTAACCCTGAGACGACCTCTGAGTAGCCTGGTCGTCAGCCCAAGAAGCGTCTGAGTGCCCAGTGAGCACAGGCCGCTCACGCCCTCCAAGCACTAGCCCCATGCCCGACGTACTGCACAAGTAGCGCAACACCCTCTTAGCTGCATCCATGTGCTCCTTCCGGTGACGGCCGGGAGCGACATAGCGTGCTAAGATGCTGAGAGGGTATGCGAGGTCAGGTCGAGTGCAGGTCATCAAGTACATGAGGCAGCCCACAAGCTCTGGATACGGACCACTCGACTCTACGGACTCATCCGAAGGCAGAGCTGAGAGCGAGTGTCCCGTAGGCAGAGGAGTGGACTGAGGCGAGGAGTACGTGAAGCCGAAGCGCTGAAGGACCTGCTGCACCATGTGTGACTGAGTCAGGGTAATGGTGCGGCGTGCTCTGTCCCGGGTGATCCGCAAGCCAAGATAGCTTGTCAGTTCACCCAGGTCTGTGCACGTGTGTCTCTTCTGCAGCTCGGACTTCACGTGGGCGAGTGCGGCAGTGTCCGCAGTGGCAAAGACCAAGTCGTCGACGTACACGAGGATGTAGAACGGCGGCAGCGAGGTGTCGGTGCGCAGAAACAGCGACGGGTCAGCAGTAGAAGGAGCAAACCCAAGAGCCGCAAGTGTAGTCCTCAGTGTGTCGTGCCACTCGCGCGGCGCCTGGCGGAGACCGTAGACTGGCCGCCGGAGGCTCCACTGGGTACCAGGAGGGAACGACCCAGTGAAACCAGGAGGGCGGCGCAGCCAGATCTCCTCGTGCAGGCGGCCCTGCAGGAAAGCAGTGCTGAAGTCAAGAGAGTGTAGCTCGTAGTTACGCTGAGCAGCGACGTGCAGCAGAACCCGAAGAGTGGTCATCTTCGGGGTCGGGGAGAAGGTCTGAAAGAAGTCAACTCCCTGTCGCTGACTGAAGCCACGAGCCACGTAGCGCGCCTTGAAGACAGGCGGAGAACCCGGCGGCCGCTTCACCCTGAAAATCCACATGCCACTGACAATGTTCGCCCCAGGAGGGGGAACAGCGTCCACGTAGGTGCCTGTGGACTTCCAGGAAGCCATCTCTGCGTCCATGGCTGACTACCACTGTGAGGAGTAGGGACCGGCCATCGCCTCTGCGTAAGAGCGTGGGGTCGGGATGTCTAGAGCATCCGGGTCTCCCTCAGGGGCAACAAGCATGGACACAAGATGGGGCAAAGCGGCGGCAAAGCACTGGAACTCCTCCTGCCTGTCCTCAAGGACGTCCGTGCCAAGAGCACAGTCACCCCCGACGGACGGAGGACAGGCAGACGCAGACGCAGACGCAGCAGACGCAGACTCAGCAGACGCAGCAACAAGACTGGCAGCGTAGTCTAAACGACACGCAGCAGCAAAGTCGACCAGCTCCGCAACTAGGGCAGACGCAGCAGCGGACTCAAAGGAAGGGTCAGTGACAAGAGAAGCAAGAAGACGCGTGACAGTAGGACTGGCAGCACGGCGAGAGTCCGACTCCGGGTCGTCAAGAGTAGGAAGAGAGGACTCAGGAGGAGAAGGCAAAGGGGCACGCAGAGGAGCAGTGGACGGACGCAGAGACATCTGGTGCGTGCCAGGGACAGGAGGAGGACGCTGACGCGAACCGCGACCACTAGGGCGAGCAGCTCGGACTGGCGACGCAGGGCGGGACGCAGGCTCACGACGCTCAGCAAGACCTCCAGTAGGACCAGCGTAGGGAGAAGGAGAGGCGGGCTGTAACTGTGACTGCGACGGAACAGGCTGTGGACACTCTACGGGAGGAGAAGGACCAGTGGAAGGCGGGAGACCAAGAACCTGCTGGAGGAGCGGAACGAAGTACGGCCGAGGCCGTGCAGCACCGCCAGAGACAGCAGAGACAGCACCAACCCCTCCAGAGGCAGCACCAGCACCAGTAGCAGCTCCAACTCCAGCACCTCCAGCAGAGTCAGAAGTACCCTCAGGAGGACCGACAGTCGTAGTCTCAGCGCCACCACCCGCAGCACCTCCAGCTCCAGCAGCGCCCCTCCAGCGCCGGGCAAACCACTCACGTAGCTCCACAGGAGAGAGCGGCTCGCGGCTCGAACCACCAGGAAGAGGCGCAACAGGCGAAGCACTCCCAGACGCAGTACCCCCAGGCTCAGCACCCCCAGGCTCAGCACCTCCAGTCGCAGTACTCCCAGGCTCAGCACCCCCAGGCCCAGCACCCCCAGGCTCAGCACCCCCAGTCGCAGTACGCCCAGGCTCAGCACCCCCAGGCTCAGCACCCCCAGGCTCAGCACCCCCAGGCTCAGTACCCCCAGTCTCAGCACCCCCAGGCTCAGTACCCCCAGTCGCAGTACCCCCAGGCTCAGCACCCCCAGTCTCAGCACCCCCAGGCTCAGTACCCCAAGGCTCCGCACCCGCAGCAGCACCAGAGTCACCAGTGACCTCAACAGGCTCGACCGCGTCTACCTGAGACACACCTGAAGGGGCAGGACCCTGAGGGGGGAGGGGGTCTACCGGGGGGGGACCTGGGACCAGGAAGAGGGGCGGTGGGGGAAGGGAGGGAGTGCGGTAGGGGAAGAGCCGGTAGAAGGGGACCGACTCGTCGAACGTGACGTCCTGAGAGGACAGAACACGACGAGAGGTGGGGTGGTAAAACTGCCACCCAGGGGCGTCAGGGGGGAAACCCAGGAAGACGCAAGGAGCAGCACGAGGGGACAGCTTGTCCGCAGACAAGTCGCGGACAAACGCCCGAGATCCCCAGACACGGAACGCCGACGCATCGCCAACCTTCCCCGTCCACAGCAGAGCTGGGGAGGTCTCCGGTCTGGAGACCCTGGGCTGAAGGTTGATCTGGTGCGCGGCGTACCTCACCGCAAACGGCCACAGAAAATGGGGGGCAGCCGCATGCACCATGGACGTACGGGCGACATCCATGACAATGCCGATGCGGCGCTCAGCAATCCCATTCTGCTGTGGAGAGTCCGGAAGCGTGAAGGTCTGGCGGATG